CCGCTCCGCCCCTTCCACCGCTCCGCCCCCTTCCGCCCGCTCCGGCTGCCCAGCGTCACCTCTGCCAGGCTAATGAGGAGGCCTTAGCCCCCAGCAGAACGAGAGAGGCGTTTCCACTGTGTAAGTGGAAAACTGATTGCCAGGAAGTGAGAGGCTTTGCCGACCCCGAGGGTGTGCACCGTGGGCCAGGCAGCAGGTGTGGAAAAGAGCCAGGCTGCCCCAGCCCTGCCGGGACACCTCCCCGCCCGCTGAGTTCTGGCACAGCAGGCTGTGGGGGGCCTGGGCAGCGGTGCCTGGATCTGCGTGCGGCCAGGTGTCCCCCAATCTGTCACTGAGGCGGGGACTCTGGACCAGGCCATGGGATTGACCCTGTCTCTGGGGCTGGGCCTGACGGCTGCCCGGCCAGGATCAATAAGTTATTAGCACCGCTCTGTCAGCTGTAATGTGGGATTGATCGGTGTGGCCGCCGCACTTCCCCAGCCTGATAAAAATGACAGATTAAGGGAATAAGAAAAAGGAATTAGGCCTGGAGCTGACGGCAGGGCGGGCAGCGGGGACAGGCTTGGGAGTCCCACTGCCTAGGCCTCATAGAGGTCTTGGGTCACAGGGGGTGGCCCCTTACCCCACCCACCTAGAGGCCTCATGCGGATGAGGATGGGCCAGAGTCGGAGGGACTGTGGCTGACCCAGGAGATCCCCAGGGCGAGGCGTCAGGGGCTTCGGAGGAGCTTGGGCTGGGTGGGAGGTGGGTACATAGTGCTGTGGTGTGGAATGGGTGTGGTCAGCAGAACCAGAGGGAGGACCTCAGGAGAGTGGGCTGGGCCTGGCCTGGGCCTTCCCTTTGCCAGCTACCGGGCTGTGTTTGGGGCTGGGACTGGGCTGGCTTCATGGCCGAGGAGGTGGTACACCCAGGAGCTCACAGCCTGGCTGGGCAGATGGACAAGGGCGTGACAGCCACACCAGGGTGTTAGCTCAGGCAGGAGTGGGCCAGAGAGGAGGACTTGGGCCTTCTGAGGGCAGGGATGGGTGTGGCCAAGGAGGAAGCCTGGGAGTCGAGAGGCCTCGAGGAGGCTTTGGCGGTCCACAGCCCAGTGACTCACAGAGCAGGAAAAGGTCAGGGGTGAGGTCCTGCCCAGCACGCCTCACCCCACACTGGCGCGGTGGTGCCTGGATTTATTCTCCAGGGGGATACTGGGGGCTCACTACCTGGCACCAGAGGCTGGGCTGGCTGGTAGGGCAGCCGGGTGCCTGCCATGTATCTCTTCCACACACGCACCGGGACCAGGGATGCCTTGTGCCCCTGCCCTGCCACAGCCAGGCGTGATGCCCTCTTCGCTGAAGCCTGGGCCCCCGGCTGAGCAAGGCCTGAACTCACTGGGACCAAGGGCCGCCTGAGAGACGGTGGGTGTGGTCCAGGTGGAGCTGGGGCAGGGGATGGGTCCCCCGTCCATTCCCTGAGCGGCAGGGTGGGCACTCACTACCACCTGCAGGTGACCTGTTGGGCAAGAGGCTGGGCCACTCCTCCCATATCAGCAGCGACTGCTCTTCGGAGAAAAGGGCACGAAGCCAATCCCCCCAAGGTAAGATCCTGGCCAGGGCGAGGGACAGATCGCCAGGAGAGGGGGCAGTCCCGGAGGGCCCCTTGGGGGCAGGGGTTCCAGAGGTGGGTGGTCCTCAGCAGTGCCTGGAGAAGCCTCTCATCCCGGCCTCCCCAGCAGAGGCACTGCTGCTGCCCCCGGAGCTGGGGCCCACCATGGCCCCGGAGGACCAGTACCGCCGGCTCGTGTCGGCACTGAGCGAGGCCGGCACCTTTGAGGACCCTCAGCGGCTCTACCACCTGGGCCTCCCCAGCCACGGTGAGGACCCCCCGCCCCCCACGATCCCGCCACACAAGCCCTTATCACCTCCCCACCCACGTGTAATCGGCCATTCCTGTTGCTGAGGCCCTGCTGACACCAAGGCCAGGCTAGATGCAAGTCCCTGGAGTGTCCCGTCTGCCAGCCGTCCTGCCCCGAGTCCCCTGGGGCAGGCCACACCTCCGTGTCCCCCAGGCTCGTGGCTAACTCACATTTTATATATGGAGAAATGGAGTCGGGGTGGACCCAGGTGAGGGTGGGCGGTGGGCATCTAAGGAGCGCCTCCACAGGCGAGCAAGCTTCCAGACCACAGGGTTAGGGTCTCAGTCGTCTCTCCAGCCGGGAGCTGACCTGCCATACGGCTGCCCCAGGAGCCTGGGGAGGGGCTTTGAGCAGAAAGGCCGGGCTGGGTGCAGTGGGCACTTGGCCACCAGGACTCCCCAGGTGCTGAAGACCCCAGCTGGAGGGGCTGCCTCTGACCCTGTCCACCCCACCTCATGACGTTCTCCAGGGTCACTCCGGGATGCAGCCAGACGCCTTGCCCTGCTGCACGCAGCCTCCCAGGCCCCAGCCGCCTCCTGGCAGGGGAGCTGGGCTTTTCTGGCTAGAGGTGGGTGGGGGCGCCGGGAAAGGAGGCAGGATTCCTCACACCAGACACCGTCCCCCAGGGCAGCTCAGGCACCAAGAGCCTGAATAATTCACCAAATGTTAATAATTTAGAAATCCTCCTTTTTAATTGCTTTCCCTGCTCTGCCTGGGGCCGCTCTGCTGGCCGCGCGGGGGAGGGGGCGCCGGCCGCCGGGGAGCGCGCTGTCAATCAGGCCGCGCCGCCGCCCCCGCCCCCGCCCGGCCGCGGAGCCGGCTGTAAATAACCCCGGCAGCCAACGCGGGGGCACTGGGCCCCGCCGGGATCGATGCGGGCGGCCGCGCCGGCTGGGCTCTGCGGGCTGGCACCCGGCCCGGGGCGGGACCCACCTCCGCTTTCGGGTAATTAATTTATAAACAGAGGCGGCGGTGGACCTGGCGGAGCCTGCACTGTGGGGGCTGCGGGGACTTGGGAGGCCGGGCCTGGGCGGCAGGGAGGGGCCCAGAGACCCGGGACCAGGCGCATTAGACGTGCGCGCCCGCGGGCGCTGCGTGGGCATTGGGGCGTGTGTGGCCACGCGAGACGGTGACCGTGCGCAGCCGGGACGGGACGGCCCCTGTGCTGGTGGGGCCGTGCGGGCCCGGCGCTGCCCTGCCTCTCTGGCAAGCTTCTGCCAGCCGTGTCTACTGCGGGGACCCCACGTCTCCTTGCCCTCGAGGAGGGGGGGGTCCCCTGGGCGGTCGGCCCCCGCTGGTGCTCCTGCAGTCTGGCCGCCCCGCAGGCTCTGCGCCCTCGGGACCTCCGCACAGCACCTCCCTGCGAGGCTCCGGCCTCCTCCCAGGCCAGAGGCCTTTAGGCACCGCTCCCCTGAGGGAAGGGCCTTTCCCCACACCTCCCCGCCCAGCCTCTGGTCTGCGGCCTCGGCCCTGTGGCCGGACAACCTTCTGCCTGGTGCCCGAGACCAGCGCAGGGCCCAGCACAGCCGGGTGGTGTGGTTAGTTCCCACCTCAGTTTACGCCAGAACGCGGGCTGGGGAGGGGTCGAGTAGCTGGGGGGCTCACTGATGTTGTCCCCCACCCAGATCTCCTGAGGGTCCGGCAGGAGGTGGCTGCTGCAGCTCTGAGGAGCCCCAGTGGCCTGGAAACCCACCTGCCCTCCTCCACGGCAGGTCAGCGTCGGAAGCAGGGCCTGGCTCAGCACCGCGAGGCCGCCGCCCCGGCCGCCGGCCCGTCGTTCTCGGAGAGGTACTGGGGTGGCTGCGGTTCTCGGCTTGTTCCTGGGGTGGGCGGGCCGTTCCCGCGGCCCGCACCCCCACGCGCTCAGCACGGCTGATGAGCGCCCCGAGTGTGCCAAGCACCGTGTTCAGGTCTAGCTTTGGATCCGGGCAGAACGTTTCGGGAGTGACACTGCCCTGGGCTGCGGTTTTGACGGCGCGGCGGGGGCGCGTGGGAGAGGCTGAGGCAGATCTGGGGGATCCTGCGGGCCCGGGAACGGGAACTCAAGCCTGAGAAGAGAGGGCAGCTCCAAGTCTGGGACCCTGGGGTCAGTCGGGACGGGTCGGCCAGAGGACTCAGAGCTCGGGGCGGGGGTGTGGGGGACTCCTGGGGTCCAGGAGACTCGGCGGGGCTGGGGGCCTCGAGAAGCGGTGGGGGGCGCCTGGAGACCGAGTCCCCGCCCGGCCCCTGAACCCGGCATCTGCAGCTGCCCCCGCCGCCTCCCGGATTGCGGCTAATGACGCCCCCGCTTCCCCGCCGCCGAGCCCGCAGGGGAGGGGAGCAGGCGGCGCGCAGCAATTACCGCGGCAGCCGCCGCCGCCCGCGGGGTCAGCGCCTCCGCGCCGCCGCCGAGATTAATTGGCGCCGCCGGCGGGGGCGGGGATGTCGCGCGACCCGGGGCAGTAACGAGCTGCGCATCGACCGCCCGCGGGGCCGGCAATTAGCGGAGGCGGCGAGGGGGGCGCGGGGCCGGGACGGGAGCGGGGGCGCCCTCATCGCGCTGCCGTCCGCAGGGAGCTGCCGCAGCCGCCCCCTCTGCTGTCGCCGCAGGATGCCCCTCACATCGCCCTGGGCCCCCCGCTCAGGCCCCCCTTTCTGGGGGTGCCCTCGGCTCTGTGCCAGACCCCAGGTGAGGAGGTGGGCGCGCGTGCCTCGGGTTCTGCGGGGCCTTCGGTTCCCGGGAGCCCAGCCGGCCGGGGTAGGCGGCCGCAGCCTCCGACCCGCGACTCAATGCGCCGTCGTCCCCCCAGGCTACGGCTTCCTGCCCCCCGCCCAGGCGGACATGTTCGTCCGGCAGCAGGAGCTCCTGCGGAAGCAGAACCTGGCCCGGTAGGTGCGGGGCGGCGGGCGGGGAGGCGCGGCCCAGGAGGCGGCTGACCCGCGTCTGCCCCGGCCCAGGCTGGAGCTGCCCGCCGACCTCGTGCGGCCGAAGGACCCGCAGCTGCTGGCGCCCGAGGCCGCCCTGCGCCCCGCCGACGGCGCCGACGAGCTGCAGCGGCGCGGGGCCCTGCTGGTGCTGAACCACGGCGCGGCGCCGCTGCTGGCCCTGCCCCCCCAGGGGCCCCCGAGCTCAGGACCCCCCACCCCCTCCCGGGACTCGGCCCGGCGAGCCCCCCGGAAAGGGGGTCCCGGCTCTGCCTCGGCCCGGCCCGGCGAGTCCAAGATGACAGGGGCCAGGCTCTGGGCTCAAGATGGCTCCGAGGACGAGCCCCCCAAAGACTCGGACGGAGAGGACCCCGAGACGGCAGCTGCCGGATGCCGGGAGCCGACTCCGGGCCAAGCTCCAGCTGGAGGGGCTGGCGCTGAGGGGAAGGGGCTTTTCTCAGGGTCCACACTGCCCTCTTCGCTGCCCCTGGGCTTCCCCTATGCCGTCAGCCCCTACTTCCACACAGGTGGGCACCCCCACACTCTAGATCCTTCCAGGTCGCCTGTGGAAAGGTCTTAGCGGGGAGGGGATCCGTGGGGAGGAAAACGCCCCTTAGGCATCCATCCCACACCTGAGCAATTGGGGCACACGAAGGTCAGAAGACGGGTGGGTACGGGAAAGCCAGCCAGAGCCCTAGTAACACGCCCCACAACTCAGGAACCATGGGGGGACTCTCCGTGGATGGGGAGGAGGCCCCAGCCCCTGAGGACGTCAGCAAGTGGACCGTGGATGACGTCTGCAGCTTCGTGGGGGGCCTGTCTGGCTGCGGAGAGTACACGCGGGTAAGGAGGGGGCCACAGTCCCTGGGGTGGGGCTGGCACTCATGACTTCCCTGGGAAGATGGTATGGTAAGGCCATTCCTGAAGCCCTTTCTCTCCGTAAAAGGGGTGCACGGAGGGGGCCAGACTGCGCCCGTTTTTTGCACTCAATGTCGACTCAAACCCAACACATCTTTTAGGAGATATTCCCGTGAGCTGCACAAACAGCCCTCCTTGGCCCTGCTGGGCTGGAGGATGTAGCAGCCACCTGGATCCTGAGCCTACCTCCCTCTTCCAGGTCTTCAGGGAGCAGGGGATCGACGGGGAGACCCTGCCACTGCTGACGGAGGAGCACCTGCTGACCACCATGGGGCTGAAGCTGGGGCCCGCCCTCAAGATCCGTGCCCAGGTGAGCTGCTGGACGGTGAACAGCCTCCAGACCGCAGCTGGGCACAAAGCCCCCCATGGGTGTGCAGCAGCCCCTCAGGAAGCCCCACCAGGCCCTGTCTCTGCAGGTGGCCAGGCGCCTGGGCCGTGTCTTCTACATGGCCAGCTTCCCTGTGGCTCTGCCGCTGCAGCCACCGACCCTGCGGGCCCCGGAGCGGGAACTTAGCACAGGGGAGCAGCCCTTGTCCCCCACGACCGCCACTTCCCCCTACGGAGGGAGCCACGCCTCTGCCAGCCGAGCTTCGCCCAAGCAGGAGAATGGGACCTTGGCCCTGCTTCCAGGGGCCCCTGACCCATCCCAGCCTCTGTGTTGAGGTGGCCAGGGGTGGGGGGCGCAAACCAACTCCCAGGAGCCACCACATGAACCAACGGCCCTGCCTCCCACCGCTTTATTTCTTTTGGTTTGGGATGCAAAAAAGAAAAACGCTTCAAGGGAAAACATGACTTCAAAGGAAATGAACAAATCTCCAAAGATGGGGTAGGGGTGACCGCAGAGCCTGGTGCTGATGAATGAGGTCTGCAGACCTAGGGCAGAGGAGCTGGAAGGGGCCTGCAGGGCTCCCCAGGAACTGGTCTGTACCTGACATCCAGGTCAGCTTTCCCCCACACCCCGCTGGGGGTGGCGTGACTTAAACGGCGCACAGCTGTGGGGCTCTGGCAGGAGGCAGGCCCCAAGGTGCTGGTTCTACTCCTTGGCAGCCACCCAGGGCGTTTGGGCTTTCATGCTGAAAAATGAATAAAGCCTGTCCACTCTACTGCCTCCCCCAGCTGCACAGACGCTAGCCTCTGGGCCTGACTGCCAGAGAGGTGGCAACACTGGCCGCCAGCCCCCGAAGGTCCCCAGATGGGCTGCCTCAGTCCTCCTCCGAGAGCTGCAGATCCTCCAGCTCGTCCTCCGGCCCCTGGGCCAGCCGCTGCAGCTCCCCAGGGGCAAACCCCGCCTCTGTGTCTGGGTCTCCATCTGTGGGGAGAGACAGAGGCTACATAAATTCTGCTTTATCAGGAAGAAGCCAGCATTGGAAGTTACTCATCACTAATTAATCACGGCACTAATTAATTTATCCCTGCCGCTGCTGCTGGCTGCCAGAGCTGGAAAGAACAGAGCATTTGGCCAGACCTCCCTGGGGAGGGGGAAGCCTGGCCCAGAGCCCCCTTCTCCCACCCACCGCTGCTCAGCCCCCCCCTTGACGGGCTTACAGGCCACACCCCTCACCCCAAGACCACTCACCCTCGGAGCTGCTGCTGTCTCCCTCCTCCTCCTCGCCATCCTCTTCTTTCTTCTCTTCCACTCCATGCCGAGTCCTCAAGGGCCCCAGTATCCCTGGGGAACAAGGAACAGAGCCATATGACTCCCACCCACAGGGTCGACCAGCAAAGGCAGGAAGGTGGCCAGGCTTGCACCCCTGCTGGCTGCCTTCCCTCCACTGGCGGAGAGGGTTACTGGAGAGAACTGGGAGGTCACAGGCCTGGGGGG